GACTAAACCAGCCTGTAGTGCTTCTCTAGAACATAGCCAAATAGTTAATTTTACTTCTTGTATCCCCCTCGTCTATAATTATGAGTGCCTTTTTCACAGTTAAAAAGCTAATTCATTGACAAATAAATATCCAACTATTTCTTGGATTTGTTTGGAAGGACAATTTTGACATCAACACTAATTGCAGATGAAATAAAAATTAAATTATTATTTTGACTAAATTCAACCAGTTGTGATTTCCACCATCCCACATCCCGACTCCCACATCAGTCAACTTGCTCCCCATAGTTATACGCATGTTATAATTTATTTATTTTATTTTGATTCCCGCATGCATTTCACATGACTATTCCCGGAAACCCTTGTCCGGCTTCATTGTCCGCCATATGGGCGGACTCGGTCCACCACGCCAGAATTCAGACGTGTTATTTAACAAAACGAAGACCGTCCCCGTCTTCTTGCTTGCTTCCCAGAACCGTCCGAGACCCTTTAAAACGGAGTTCCCTTTGCCCATTCAACCCCAACGGGACCTCACCAAAAGAGAAAGAACAAAACCTCCCCAGTCGGCGGAAATCGGAGGCGATGTCATTGATCGAACAAGAAAAACCACTGTCGCCGACTTCGATGGAGCAAAATACCAGTATCCGGCGAGTATGGGCGGAGAATCTGGAGGCAGAGTTTGATCTCATCCGCGAGTGCGCAGAACGGTTCCCCATCGCCGCCATGGACACGGAGTTTCCCGGCGTCGTGCATCGTTCTCGTTGCCATCACCACCTCCTCACCCCATCCGACCGCTACGCCTTACTCAAGGCCAACGTCGACTCGCTTCACCTCATCCAGGTCGGCCTCGCTCTCTCTGACGCCGAAGGAAACCTCCCGAATCTCGGTATTGAGGGCGCTCGCTTTATCTGGGAGTTCAATTTCCGCGATTTCGACATCTTCCGCGACGACTACGCGATCGAATCCATCGAATTGCTTCGGGACAACGGGATCGATTTCGAGAAGAACAGGACAAAGGGCATCGACTCACGCCACTTCGCTGAACTGCTCATGTCGTCGGGATTGCTCTGCAACGATTCCATCGTCAGTTGGGTGACATTTCACAGCGTGTATGATTTTGGGTATCTGATCAAAATGCTAACTAATCGCAAGTTGCCGAGAACCATGGAAGAATTTCTGGGTCTGGTCCGTATGTTCTTTGGAGATAAGGTGTTCGACGTAAAGCATATGATAAGATACTGCGATGGGTTATATGGTGGCCTTGATAGAGTGGCGAAAACCCTTAGAGTAGATCGTGCGGTTGGAAGATGCCATCAGGCGGGATCAGATAGTCTGCTGACTCTCCACACATTCCTCAAGTTGAGAAAAGACTTGTTTGTGAAGAATAGAGCAGATAAGTACGCAGGAGTTCTCCATGGCTTGGAACTCCTGTAAGTAATGTTTAGGTTTTTTAGGCGAAATTGCTTGTTTTGATGTCCAATTGTATCATTCAAGTTAATCTATTTATTCATCTTCATAAATGGTAAATTTTTACGGTTTGAAAATTTGAAAGCAAAACATATTGAGTTTCAAGAAGTGAAGAACAAACTTAAGAGCATGACAGAAATTTAACGGGAAATTTACATACTTGGCACACAATTCTACATGTCTCGCATATTTACATGTCTCACATCCGCACTTTCATATTTACATCTATATAACACTTTGGTGTTTTCAATGTATGCACAAAATAATGTATTTCAGTTTTTAAAAGTGTGAGTAGTATTATTTTTTATGTGATATTTACATATTTGACTATGATGAGTGTAAATATGAAAATTTAGGTGTGAGATAGGTAAATAATAAGAATTACATGTTGTGTATGTAAATGACTCAAATTTAAAACAGTTCATTTGGAGTAATTCTTTGAATTTGGATGACAATGATAATGTTAACCAAAACTATCTTTGAAAGGATTGGTGTACAAAATCTTTAAGGTGAATTAGGAGGAGTTTTTGTTTCTTTGGTGTGCAATGATGTGCCATCTAGTTACATTGTAGGTTTAAAGGATTTGTACTTGTCAAGCTAAAAATATCCAAAAGCAATTGTTTTGGATCATAGAAAGTTTTTTAATAAATAAAAATCATACTAAAAAATAGAGTTGAATGAAACAAGGAGGCCTAGTATGAGCAATTAGGTGTTTTTGCACAAGAGTTTAGAAACAATGTAATGTGTTTAATTCTAGTTGTTTGGTTTATTGAAAATGAAATGCAATGTAAAAAGTTTGTACAGTACTCTTTTTACAATGTGTTAGAAATACTTTGAGTTGTTTGGATCAGTGTAAAATAAACGAAGACTTTATAATATTTTGTTCGGCTTGAAGTAGACTAAAAATATTGTATTTAAATATATATA